GGCGGTGGGGCAAAGAGAACATTCTGAAGGACGGAAGTCTTCCGTGGGGTGGCTGAGGTCTGGGGGACTTCTGGGAGACCTATCTGTCCAAAGTGACTTGCAGGTACACTTAAGATCGGTACACAGCGCTCGGTATTAATCATTTCTCCATACACATTTTTTTAAAAGAGCAAACCTTGAAACCATCGTGGTCAGTGAGCAAAGCCAACGTCCACGGACACACGGCAGCTGTTCCCAGTGATACGGGAGGTCCAGAAGAGGCAACTCCAGAGAGACAGTGGATTCAGGGTCCACCAGGGCTCGGGGAGCATGGAAATGGGCACTGCCTGTTAATGGGGACGAGGTCTCCTTCGGGGTGAAGAGAATGATCATGGTGTGGTTGGTGCAATGTTGTGACAATAACAAAAACCGTGGGACCCTGAGTTTTATCTCACTAAAATAGTTACAAGGTCAGCAGTTCCAAACCCCCAGCCCCTCCTCCGGCGAAAGATGAGGCTCGGCTCTCTACTCCCTTCGAGAGTTAGTCTCGGAAACTCACCCTGTCCTGCAGGGTCACCGGGAGTCGGCACCGACTCCACAGCAGTGAGTGTGAGACAGGGGTTGCCGGGGCTGGTCCCTGGGTGGACCAAGCAGTTAGGTGCTCAAAGGCCAGCAGTGGAGGCGGAGGGTCAAGGCCACCAGGAGGCACCCTGGAAGACAGCTCTGGTGATCTGCTCCTGGGGAGCCCCTGGAGCAGTCCTCCTCCGCTCACAGGACCGCACGATGGGCGTGGGCTTGCAGGGCGCACAGCAAGGACAGCGATTCGAGAAACAGCAGCAGTAGTAGCAGCAACGGGGAGGCTGGGTCGCGAGAGGCAAACACAGGAGGTCGCGTGGCCTGTGACGCGCTGACACGTCCTGTCCAAACAGGCACGTCCCCAGAGACGCAAAGTGGACCAGTGGTTGCCACGGGCGGAGGGAGTGGGGGGCGGGAGGGGGTGTGATTGACGATGACTCGCACGATGGGGGGCAGGGGGGCAATGAGAGCATTCTGCAACGGGCGAGATGTAGTGGTTGTGTAACGTCGTGACTTCCACTGAACAGCTCCCTTAAAAATTAACCCGCTTGCACGAAATGATGACCCTGGGCCAGGGTGCAAAGATCCAAGTCGATTAGCGGCTGTCACGGGCAGCCAGCAGGAAGGGAACTGAATACACAACCTTTGGGGGCACTGAGCTTCTGTTTGGGGGGGACAGGAAATCTGGGGGCAGTTCATGGTAAATGTTGAATGAATACCACTGGACTCTACCTGCCTCACTAAAAACTCACTTCCCAGGTGTGTGCCTACGTGGGGTCTCAGGGTGGGGGGTGCTATCCCCCCTTCCCTCCCACCATCTAAAAGCCATTGGCCTGTGGGGACAGAGAGCGTGCAGAGCGAAGTATTTCACAAGAATACAGGCTGCCTGTTTCCCCAGAACATCAGATGAATTTTAAACTGGCGCCTCCCCATTCCTTATTTTTCCTTAAACTCTATTTTTTTACCGGCAAGTTCACTGCCATTGAGTCAAGACTGACTCACAGCGACCCTACAGAGGGGCACCTGTGAGTGTCCGAGACTGCAGCTCTCTTTACGGAAGCAGACAGCCTCTTCTTTCTCCCACGGAGCAGCCGGGGTTTCAAACTGCTGACCCTGCTGGTGGCAGCCCAATGCGTAACCCCAACGCCACCACGTGACAAGTGTGTGGAGACCTCTATTTTTTTTAACCACAATTTCAGAAATCAGTTCAAGCGGCAAATTTTATGTTGCAGTTTAGTGCCGTTGGGAGGTAGATCAGGCTTTCTACTCCCGTAGTTACAGTCATCTCAGAAATGCACAAGGGCAGTTCTACCCTGTCCTGTAGAATCGCTGAGTCAGTATTGATGAGTCAATGGCAGTGAACTTGGCCCAAAAAAAAGAGTTTAAGGAAAAATAAAGAATGGGGAGGAGCCAGTTTAAAATTTACCAGCAGTTCCGAGGAGGAGGGCGGCCTGCATTCTACTGCAATACTTCACTCCGCGCGCTGTCCCCATAGACCAATGGCTCGTAGTTGAGGGGAGGGAAGTAGGGACAGCATCTCACACCCCAAGACCCCATACGGACACACCCTGGGAGCAAGGCCTGGCGTCCCAGCCACCACACTGTCCCCAGACTACCTGACAAGCCCAGTGCCGGCCGAGTCTGACCGATTCCCTGACCCCTTGACAAAGGCCCTCTTTGTCTCTGGTAATATCCTTAGCAGGTCTGTCTAGACGCCTCACTATAGCAACAATTGTCCCGTGATGTCAACACGCCTTCGGCTGGCCCCTCTGTGCTGGCTCGGGCAGGGATGCTCCGGGCCGCCGCCGAGGCCAGGGGCTCCCAGCCCGACACCCACCTAAGTCACAACACCCACCTAAGTCACCCGGGAAGAGAAAGACTGCCGGCCTCCTCACGAGGCTGGTAGGCGGGATCCGGGGGCACACCGGATGCCCTCCTCCCAGCAGAGACACCATCTGAGGGGGTCTCAACGTCACTGGGGAGAAGGACCGAGACACATAGGACAGAGATGTTGAGAGACAGACAGAGAGGGACGTAGACACAACGTTCCCCGAGAAAGAAGGCACACGTGCACACACACAGTCACTGGCAGACTGAGAAGGGGAGCTTTGGAGAGAGGAAGCTGTAAATGACCTCAGGGGTTGGCGAAGGGGACACATGTCCCCTGTGCCAGCACTTCCCCCAAGACCCTCAGCGCCCAGCTTTCCTGGGCGGCCCAGTGCGCCCACCCTAGACACACGCGCATGGGCACACTGACTTAGGCTTCCGAAAGCCCACGCGGCTACTCCTTACGACCTGGGTGGACCCCACCAACCCTCAGGATCCACACAAACCTGGGAAGAGACCCCGGGAGGCTTCTGTCCCGCGGGCATGTTCCAGAATGTGGTGTGTGCAGAGGGTTTTCGTGGCAGGCAACAGACCGCCCGGCCTTTCTTCTGCGGCACCTCTGTAGCTGGGACCCCTTGACCTTTCGGCCAGTGCTTCTCCGTCTCCCGTTTGTGTTTTCTTTCTTCCCACGGACAACGTCTACCTCGGCTATGGGATGGCCCGGACATCACCCCCCACCACTTCTTGTCTCATGAGCATCCGGAGCAACCTGGGAAGGCCTCCCACAAAAGTCCGGAAGGTTGGGGTGCCCCTCAAAGAGCCCTCACCCCTCGGGCCTTGGGATTAAAAGGCTGCCATCCTACCACCCCAAGCCTGGAACTGGAGGGACTCCCAAAGATGGCTTCATTGATTTTCCCTCTGCTTAAGATGCAGCGCACAGTGTCTGGGGCCCAGGAATTCAGACACCCGCCTTTGTGTCCACTCAGGCCCGTGAAGCCCGTTGTCTGAAACCGCCACAAAGCCAGACGCACGCGCCTTCAGAAACACGCTGTTCCTTTTTGTCTGGGCCCTGGGGAGCGGGCACAGTGGGCAGGGCCGTGGGCTCCTCCCTCGTCCCGCCCGAGGGGAAACGAGGAGGCAGCCTGAGCTTTGGGGTCCTGAGCAGGGATGATGCAAAAGGTGAGGGCCCCTGAAAGTGGGGGGTGACACACTGAGATTTCAAGTTGGCTTTGAATTGGGGTTTGGGGGACAACACTGGGTAACTTAAATCAGGGAGCTAATGGGCCAAGATTAACGCGGGGCTGGCCCCGGTCCCTGCTGGTCTGAATTACACGAGGGGACCACATCTCGCGTTCCCAGACCCATTGTCTCCCGTCTGTCCCTCAAAGGAAACAAAAACACAGAAACCAGAACCTTCTCAGAGAGCCCCCAGCTTGAGACAGTGGGTCAGACCACCAGTGGGAGCAGAGAGACAACCATGGCCACTGAACCCCCTGACACATTCAGAGGCCCCTTGTCTGCCTGGTCCCCCCCCACCAAACACGCCAGGGTGTTCTCAGATTGGCCATTTGGGGACCTGTTACCACGCAAGTAATAGGAAAGGTTTTCTAAAAAAGGAGAAAGAACCCCTATCTGGGGGGCTCCTAGGCGAGTGAACGTGAACCCCACTTTTGACACACCGGTGGTATTTACTCACACCAGGCCACAGGTACTGGGGGGGGGGGGGGCATGGGCACTTTTGAGTCAGTCACATGCCCATTCCCGGACTTAGTGCCCTCAGACAACCCCCTGCACCTCCCCAGACTCAGCCTTCTCGCCCATCAGGTGGGCACACGAGCAACCACACGGACCCCGCCTGCTGTGGGACACTCGACTACCAGCGGGAAGGTTGGTAGTTCACACCGAGCCAGCTGCACCTCGGAAGGCAGGCCTGGCTTCTGAAATCTGCTTCTGAAAGGTCCCGGTCTTGAAACGCCTCGCGCGCACCCCGCCACGCCGTTTCCCCCCAGCAGTTCTAGCACGCACACCAGGGGCCACCAGGAGTCGGACTCAACGTGATGGCAATCACTCCCACCTCCCCACGAGAAGGTGGCGGTGTGGCTCCGTCATAAAACACGTGCTCTCCATGCGGGAGACCCAGGCTCAATTCCCGGCAGTGTACCTGCCACGCAGCCACCGCCCATCTGTCTGTCAGTGGGGGCTTGTGGGTTGCTATGATCCTGAACAGGATCCAGCGGTCCTTCCAGACTGAGATGGGCTAGGAAAAGAGGCCTGGCTGTTGGCCTTGGGAACTCAGCCAGGGAAAACGGTACGATGGCAACAGCCAATCGTAGGGACGATGAAGGATTAGGGGGCCTCTTGTGCTGTGCTCAGGGGCCCCGTAAGTCAGGGCCTCACTCCCTGGCAGCTGCCACCACCACCAGTCCGTGGGGTTGACAGGAGGATTCAGAGTCTGGACAACACTTCCTGGCTGGCGAGGGGGCCACAAACATAAATTCCAGCGTTAATCCTGATCCCATCAGATGCTGCGTGGACTGGGGCTTACATAGCCCCTATGACACAGCCCCCGAGTGACCTCTTTGGGGAGTCTGTCCTCCTACACCGCGGCCTCGCGTTACCTGGACTGCAATCCAGCTGGCGTTCACCGTGTGCTCCCCAAAAGGGCCGAACCCTGGAAAAGTAGCCAAAAAACAGCAGGTCACCATGGGTGGTCCTGGTGGGAATCCCGGTCTCCAGCAGAGTTACAGGAGCAGGTGTGCTGAGAGAGCTTCCGGGGCTGCTCCCAAGTCCTGGGGTGGACATCATGGCCTGAGCACCTTTCCGTTTCCTACCCTCATGGCCACCTGACCCCCTGGTCCTTGGAGGCCCAGCGACCTTTCTCCTCTCTCTTGTCCCGGGCCTTGCTTCCAAGCGGAGGGGCAGTGAGAGGGTGCCTTATTACGTGGAATCCCCAGCACCCAGCTTGACCGAGGTGTCTGGGAAGCACCGTCGATGAGGAGCGGACCTTAGGGACGTGGGTGGGTCTCCCCGGGTCATGTCATTCATGTCACCCCATCCACTCCCCACAAGCCTCAGGCCCGCTTCCAAATCCACACAGTCACCATGGAGCGGCTGGACTCCTGAATAATGTGCTCAGCATGGCCTCCTGGAGTTAAGCGCTGGACTGCTGATGTCAAAGTCCGAGGTTGAAACCCACCAGCCACTCCCTGGGAGGAAACTACCGCTAACTGCTCCCCTACAGATGCACAACCCCGACACACGCCAAGGGGTCACTCTGAGCCGGAATCCGCTTGATGGTGATGGATTTGGAGTTGCTCTTTTCAGGGAAGGGCACTGATGAGCCCATTGTACAAGAGCAGAGACTAAGCCACAGCACAGGGAAGCAGACGGCCCGAGCCACACGGCAGCAAGAAGAGAGACAGGCCTGGGTTCCCACGGGGACCCAAGGCTGCCTGCCGCCCCCTCTCTCTCCTAACCACTTGCTCGCAGTTAAAGCAGCTGAAAGTTAATGGTCACCAAGGGAGGCTGCCCCAGACTCAGGGGGTCATCCAGGCTGCACGAGGATATGGGGGTGGGTGGGGGGGTGGCTGAATTTACAGAGACTTCAGATGCCTTTGCCCTGTAGCAACCATGGGAAAGGCCTCTCTGAGACTCGGTTTCCCTCTGTAAAATGGAGATGGTGAGGATTCCCCAGGTTCACACGAGGAAAATGCTCCTTGCCCGGCCTGGAGCGGAGTACACCCTCATTCCTCCGTTCTACCTTCCGGCTATACACACCTGTTGAACAGGTGAGCGGTTTCTTCATCTTTCCGGAAGGGAGTCCCTGGGCCAGACCCACCTCCCGGGCCTCCCCGGACCACAATACACCTGTGTTAATCCTGGCCGCGAGTCCCAGCCCCCCACCTCCCCCCTGCGGGTTAAAATGACACCCCCCACACTCAGAGGGGGCGGAAGTGGAGGTGGCTGGCAGTCTCCTGGAGGAGGAACAGTTGGTTTGGGGCAGCGGCGACGACAGGCGCTGGGCTCGGCCCGACGTTGCCCAGGAGACCCTGCGCCGGGGTCCCGGACCACAGCCTGAGGTCTCCCGCGCCCCTTCTGCCCCCGCCGCGGCGGACAGCCCCCCACGGGCGCAGGGCGCGGGGTGCGGAGACTGCGCGGAGCTGCATTTGCCACCCGGGGCACTTCCTGCCCGCAACTCAGCCTTTGTCCCCAGGGGCCTGGGGGTGGGAACAGGCCGACCTTGGGAGGGGCAGGAGGAGGAGCCCAGCACAGCGGGCAGCCCGGGCCGACCAGGTGTCCCCAGGGTCACCGTCTCCACCCGGTGCCGGAGGAGCCTG